CGGGGGCTCTGCGGTAGACTGTGCATGGATGTAGTGGCTTTCTCGGAGCCCCGGAAAACGGGGCGAAGGGTCTCTCTGGCTCCTTCTGTCCAGATGGGAACATCCCGAGAGGACTGTGACTGCTAGCTGGCACAGGACCTTAGTGACCGTTCGCTGGCACGAGGTCCCTGGGGACACAGGAAGCCTGGCAGGGCTCTCCCCTTCCAGAGTTATCCGGGTGTCTAAGGCTAGGCTTGCCTGGCTTAGGACAGCCATGTGCTGAGTGGGGTGGCGATGTTGATTGATGGTGACAGAGCAGCCAAGCTTTAGGGAAACTGCGCTGAAAGGGTCCTCTGCTCCGTGGCAGCTTGAGGAGAAGGTGAGATAAGGCAGGAGGCCCCAGGAGGACAGGCCCGGCCACAGCCTCACCTCCCTGTTGCCCTCTCCCGAGAAGGGGCTTACCACGCTGCTTGGCCCACTCCCTCCTCTCGGCTAAACAAGCCCAAAGCCTTAAGGCTACGGGTGGTCCAGCGGCAGTTCACAGCAGGGGCCGTGAGGTGGGGGTGGAGCTGCCCCCCCCAATCCATGGAAGCCTCCCCGGCACACACACGTTGCCCCTCCCTCCCCTGCCTGCCCCTTACTACCCCTGTGAGGTGCCACCTCCAGACTGACCTCTGGGGCTGCCGGCCCGCAGGACCCAGACGAGAGCGCCCGGATCTCCAGCGCCTTCTTTCGCCTGTTCCGGGTCATGAGGCTGATCAAGCTGCTGAGCCGGGCAGAGGGAGTGCGCACTCTGCTGTGGACGTTCATCAAGTCCTTCCAGGTGCGTGTGCCCAGCCTACCTGGCCAGGGTCCGCCCCAGGTCTGCGTGGGGGCCGTGGTCACTGCATGTACCTGGAGAGGCTGCGAGGGACATCCGTCCAGCCCGGGGGAGAGCCCTGGGGTGACCACAGGGTCCGCAGTGAGCTCGGGGAGGGTAGGGCGTGGAGCCCTGTGCACTGACCCTCCCTCCTCACCCCCAGGCCCTGCCATACGTGGCCCTGCTCATCGTCATGCTCTTCTTCATCTACGCCGTCATCGGCATGCAGGTGAGAGGCAGGTGGGCCCAGGCCAAAGGAGGGATCTTGGTCAAGTGGGAGGGGGCGTCGGTGGACCCCAGAGAGGCCTAATTAGTGTGGAGGTTGGACCCTCCGCCCTCCCTGCATCTTCCATCCTGGCCACCAGGGGCGTAGCTGTGAGTCTGAGAAAGGAGACTGTTTCTTCTCCCTGATGCTGCAGTGCTGGTCAGGTGGGAACAGTCCGGGAGGGGCCTCGGCATGCAGGTCAACAGCAGGGGCCAGGCTGTGTCTCTCCCAGGCCCTGATAGACGCTTCAAGTGGTCCCAGTCTACCCTCCAGTGTCCCCTCTCCCCCACATTCCCTACACTGAGTCCCCAAGTTGGCTTGCTGTTGGAAAAACCAGTCCACTCTTGGGTTTTCCTTGGGCTTGATTGGACGAACTTCACCCAACCTTGAAAATAATCTAACTGATTTGGCCTCGGGTGTGCTGTGGCCTAAAATAAAGGGGATTTGCAGGAGGTAGGGGTGGAGGAGGGGAGTAGGTCAGGTGGGAGAGGACAGTGGGGCCTGCGCTGAGGGGAAACTGTGACCTAGGTCCCAAGGTTGGAGCCCTTTGTGATTTGCAGATGTTTGGTAAGATCGCCATGGTGGACGGGACCCAAATAAACCGGAACAACAACTTCCAGACCTTCCCACAAGCTGTGTTGCTGCTCTTCAGGTACCAGTCTCCTTCTGTCCGCACCTTGTCCCCACCCTCTGACCTTGGCCTTTGCTTTGCTCTACTCTACATTGCAGGCAGGGCCGGTTTCCTGATCCTGTGGCCTGAGCAGCCACACAACACAGTGCCCTCATTCAGAAGAGCTAAGGCTCAGGGTGCCTGGGTGGCTCAGTTGGTTAAGCTCCCGACTCTTGATTTCTGCTCAGGTCATGATCTCAGTTCAGGAGATCAAGCCCCATGGGACTCTGTGCCGACAGCTTGGGATTCTCTCTGTGCCCCTCCCCTACTCGTGCTCGCTCTCTCTCTCTCTCTCAAAATACATAAACTTTTTAAAAACTTTAAAAAAAAAAGAAGAGCTAAGTCTCTCCTGTCCCTGTTTTGAAATGTTTGATCACTTTTAGAAGTTAGCTGCGCTCACCATTGTGCAACCAATGCCATTTTTAAAATCATTTTTGAACAAATGGCCCCACATCTTTGTTTTGCACTGGGCCCCAAAAATGGCGTAGCTGGTCTAAGTGGAGTACGGTATATTCCCCTGATCTCATCCCACTGAAACAGGAGACAGAAGTCACATGTCCCTTCAAAAGAGCATGTCACCTTGGTCAGCACAGGGCTCTCCTGTGTGACCCCCCCACCAGGGAGTTGAATCATGGATTGATTTTGCCCCTTTTCTTTAGTTCAGCTCCTACCTATAGTGCTCCTTAAGGGATAGAGCAGTGGGGCCGCGGCACAGAGGGGAAACTGAGGCCTGCCTCACACTGAGCTACTTGGTGAACCCAGGGGTCTGAACTGCTTCCTTTGGGTTGGGGGAGCAGCCCTAGTTTGCTTGTCTGTCCATACCCTGCTCCTGCCAGGCTGCTGGCCTCCTGAGGGGCTGCCCAAGAGTGGACATGCCTTCAGGGCGCCTGGGTAGGTTAAGCGTCCGACTTCGGCTCAGATCATGATCTCGTGGTTCGTGAGTTCGAGCCCCATGTCAAGCTGTGTGCTGACAGCTCAGAGCCCGGAGCCCTCTTCGGATTCTGTGTGTGTGTCTCTCTCTGCCCCTCCCCCACTCTTGCTCTGTCTCTCTCTCTCTCTCTCTCTCTCAAAAATAAACATTCAACAAATTAAAAAAAAAAAAGAGTGAAAAGGCCAACAGAAGCCCTTCTCTTCCAGGTGTGCGACAGGTGAGGCATGGCAGGAGATCCTCCTGGCCTGCAGCTACGGCAAGTTGTGTGACCCCGAATCGGATTATGCCCCGGGTGAGGAGTACACGTGTGGCACCAACTTCGCCTACTATTACTTCGTCAGCTTCTACATGCTCTGCGCCTTCCTGGTGAGATGGCGAGGAGGGTGATTTCACAAGGGAATCTGCACCCCCCTTCCCCGTCAGCTTCTGTCTCTTGGGGATTGACCTCAGGGGCACAGGAGGCAGGAGGCTCTGGTTAGATTGTTCTGGTTCAGGCCATCCTGCAGGTGCCTTCGTTTTCTGAGGGGTTGCTAAGAGGTTTTTTGTTTTTGTTTTTGTTTTTGTTTTGTTTTTACCTTTTTTGGTTACGAATGAATAATCAAAAGAATGTAGTGGGGCTCTGTCCTAAATAAATAGGGGCTCCCAGTAAAGCCATTTGCCCCTCCCTGTTCCTCCGAAGAGAAAGTTGCCCCACTGTGAGGAGGCTGGGGCTCTGGAAATAAGGTCCCAGAGGAGGTCCCGAATGGGGTTAGAAACAGAGCACAGATTGTTCTAAGACACGAGGGCTGCTGTCTGTTCATGTGGAACGCAAAGAGCCAGCAGTATCCATGGGACTGTCGTCTCTTCACTCTATTTTCTTCCCTATATTCGGTCAAAACAGTTGTGTGAGCATCTGTGTGTCCCTGGGCTCAGTGCAGAGGGTAGAAATATGATAAGACCCAGTCTGGCCCTGGAGGAGCTCACTGGGCACCTGGGGAATCCATGTGTGAGCAAGCCTTGCAGTTCAAAGGGACGCCCACTAGACACAGAAAAGGCAAGAGCAGTAATGACACATGGTCCAGTGAGGGCACAGAGGAGGGGGCTCATCTCTCTGGGGCGGGGGCAAGAGGCTGAGATGGAGGAGCTTGAGCTGGGTTTTAAAGGATCAGCACCAAGAACCCGGGCAGAGGACACTGTCTATGGAGGAGCGCAGAGGTGTGACATAGGTCGCTAGTGTTTGGGACGTAGGTCATTCGGAAGGACTGCAGTGAGGGCCCAAGTAGGAAGGAGCTCCGGCCCCCTTACCCAGTGGACATCTCCCAGCCCCCAGCCCCTCCCCTTTGTCACCTGCTTTCCCATGGTGGCAGCCCTTGGTTCTCCTCTTGCAGATCATCAACCTGTTTGTAGCTGTCATCATGGACAACTTTGACTACCTCACCCGGGACTGGTCCATCCTGGGCCCCCATCACCTGGATGAGTTCAAAGCCATTTGGGCAGAGTATGACCCAGAGGCTAAGTGAGTCCAGTCTGTAGATTCTGTGCAGACCCCTCCCTTCACTGTCCACCCCCCCCAATCCTAGCCCCTGTCCTCGTGTCCTATAGGGAATCACTCTCCAGTTTAATAAGAATGAATGGACTTCTTCTTCCTTCATTATCTGAGGTCCCAGATCAGAAAATTGGAGTTTCTTAGAGTTAGAAGGGATCCCACAGCCTCTCAGGACAGAAAACCCCTTGACTTTATTGGGAAATGGTCATTCAGCTTCTGCTTGGACACTTCTGAGAGCAGGGAACTCAGTACCTGAGCAGCTCTGGGCTCTGGCTAGCCAAAGTTTTAGTCCACTGACTAACAGCATCCTAGCTTGATTAAAATGCAAAGCCCCGAGCTGTACCCTGGACTGACTGAATCAGAACCTGCATTGCTTATTAACCTGATCCTCAGGGCATTCATACCTATGTTAAATCTTGGGAAGCACTTCTGCTTTACATTCTTTCTTTAAAAAGTAATAAGCTCATATTGAGTATTTCCCAAGTGTCATGCATTGTGCTAACCATTGCATACATTATCTCATTTAATCCTTACAACAACCTATGACACAGGTCTCTAGCTCTCTACCAGTCTGTGGAAGTGAGCTTTCACCTCCAGTGATCCATACCCTCTACTTCTATTAATATAACCCAAGAGCCCCCCAGTCAGCTCAAACAGAACCCAAGGAAGGCTCTGCCGTGGGGAAAATGAGGTCCAGATTCTGGGTCTGGAGATCCCACATCTCAGGGAATTCTGGTCTCAAAAGGATGTCTTCCCAAAAAAAGGACAGCCCATTCCTGGTGGTAGGTAACAGTGAACCCAAACATTGTTTCTTCTTTAAAGCAGGAGCTCAGCTTCAACTTCCTAAACACACTCCGAAAACAGGAAACACTCCCCTGTCACCTGGCTCTCTTCCCCTTGGCCGTTCTCTGAGCAGGGAGGAGGTCCTGGGTGGAGACGCCTGGTGTACAAGTCTCTGTGTCCTCCTGCAGGGGCAGAATCAAACACCTGGATGTGGTGACCCTGCTGAGACGGATCCAACCCCCTCTGGGCTTTGGGAAGTTCTGCCCACACCGGGTAGCATGTAAGGTAACCAGCGCAACCAGGGAGGGGTGCCCCCCTGGGAGAGGAAGAGGCTCCGGTACCAAGGGACAGGGAAGTTGATGAGGGCCTGATTGGATGAATCATTTTAGAGCAGTCATCTCCTGGGTCCCCAAGTCCCTTCCTGAGGACCTAAAGTGTCTCCCAACTCATCAGTGTCTCCCAACAGTCAACAGTGTCTCCCAGCTTATCTTTCCATCCCCTCGTGAAGGGCATCCCAAATCACCTGCACCCCCAGCCTTCATGTCCCATCCCCTCCCGGTCCACAGACCAGGCCAGAATGACCTGCCAAGCTTGGCCTGGTCCCAGCTCAGCAGCCAGCCACTGCCCCTCCCCTCACAGCGGCTGGTGGGCATGAACATGCCCTTGAACAGCGACGGCACGGTCACCTTCAACGCCACTCTCTTCGCCCTGGTCCGCACAGCACTCAAGATCAAGACGGAAGGTGAGAACTTTCTGGCATGCAGCCCCCTCCCTTCTCTCATAGGATGAGTTTTCTGGTACAGATTCTGCCAGATTCTCAGAGCTAAGGGTTGGAACCAAGAGCCATGAGGAAAAGCAGAAGGAGAACCCCAGTCTGTGCCTCTCAGGGCTTTGAGAGAGCTCAAAAAATCTCTGCAGGGGAAAGGTCACTAAGGATCTCTTCCCACACAGCTATGTCTGAATGGGGCCCCAAAAATGGCAGTGTTCGTGCAGAGGTGGGGGCTGCCTGTGGTGCGGCTCTGGGGGGAGCAGAGGGGCACCTCAGTTAGCCCTGGGCTTGCAGCCCACACTCAGCTTCACAGCTGAGTGCCCTGCCGCCAGGAAGCAGACATCATGGGAACAGGGAAAGGACTTAAGCTGGGGGCTCTTTTGTTCCTGAGCCCTCACTTAGCGCTCGGTTGTATCAGAGCCATCCCCGAAGGCAATCAGGACCACTGCAGGGATCTGAGACCACCACAGGGAAGGTTTTCTTGGGAGGGCAAGGAGAAGAAGACCAAGAGTGAGAGAAACCACGTTAGGGCAACAGGAAGGTTGCCTGAGAGTCCTTGGAATAGACCAGAGGGCCGTGGGGATTTAAAGGCTTTTGAGGGGAAAGGGAGAAGACCAGGAGATGACAGACAGACTTCAAAGGGAGCCACTCTGAACACTGGAAGCCAAGGCTTGTGGGGTGTGGAAACATGACTCAAGGGTTGGGCTGCCCCAGGGGGATGGTGATGCCCTCCCCTTCTTGCCAGTGCTCAGCACAGCAGCTGCCAAAACCAAATAGACAAAATCTCGGCCAACACTTGTTGAATGAGGTGTTTGGAGAATTCTAGGTGTCTTTGTCAAGTGCAGTTGACTTGGGCCGTGTGACTTTAGGGCTGCCCCTGCCTGTCCCTTGCTCCCAGGTAACTTTGAGCAGGCCAATGAGGAGCTGAGGGCCATCATCAAGAAGATCTGGAAGAGAACCAGCATGAAGCTCCTGGACCAGGTCATTCCTCCAATAGGAGGTGGGTGCTGCTTTGGGAGACCAGCATCCAGAGGCAGCTGAGGAAAGGGGACAAGGGACTTCTCCAGGAAGCCCTGTGGGAATCTGAGAATGGCCCAGAACCTTCGTAAATACCTTGGAGAGACCCCATGGTGGTAATCAGGGCGGGTACCAACCTTAGGGTGGAACTGCCCACTGGCCAAGTCAGCAAGGAGAGGAGTGTCGTGAAACGCCCGGTCCTGGCTACACCTCGGTCCCACTCTGAACCCAGTTCAGATTCCTACCCACCTTCAGGACATCCCTTTTGACTCTTCTGCAGATGATGAGGTGACTGTAGGGAAGTTCTACGCCACGTTTCTCATCCAGGAGCACTTCCGGAAGTTCATGAAGCGCCAGGAAGAGTATTATGGGTATCGGCCCAAGAAGGACACTGTACAGATCCAGGTAAGCCAAACCTGACCTCCAAGGGACTCCACTGAGCCAGGTCTTCAGGCTCCATGTCCTTGAGGGCCAGTGACAGAGGCAGAGAGGGAAGGAGGGCTCCAGGGTGAGTGAGGAGCCAGGCAGGAGCTCCTCCATCTTTGGGTGACAGACCCAAAGGCAATGGCATTGGTTCAGAAGAGGGATTTGAGTGCTTAAACTGGTCCATTGGCATGCAGAGAAATTTAGAACTTTGTTTCATATCATCTGTCTTTTATTTCTATTTTTTGGTGTTAATTATAGTGCATACAATTTACAAATTCAAAAATATGTGTGCCTTTGGGCTATGTGCTCAAAAACTTATTTCAATTTCAATTTTTACTTTAAAACAGTGTCATGATTTTAAAAGTTGTGTGTATAATACAAACACCTTTTTTATGAACCATTTTAAGTGTAATTCCCAACATGACATTCCATCAACCCAGAACATTTTCATATGTATTTCCTGCAAATAAGGGCATTTTCCTACATAATTCTTCTACACAACCACAATGCAACCACCAAAGTCAGGAAATTAACATTGAGACATTATAACCATCAAATCTTCAGGCCCCATGCAAATGTCACCAGCTGTCCCAAGAATGCCTTTATAGTAAAAGGATCCAATCTAGAATCACACATGGCATTTAGTTGTTATATCTCTTTAGACTCTTTCAGCTAGAACAGTTCCTTGGTCTTTCCTTGACAAGACCTTCACGCTTTTGAAGACTACAGGATATCCTTCAGGTTGAGTTCAGGTGATGTTTCTTCATGATAGATTTAGGGATATACATCTTGTACAGCAATGTCACAGAAATGATGCCATGTTCTCACTGCAAGCTATCATATGACACCAATCTTGATTTGTCCCATGGCTTTAATCAACTTAAAAAACTGTATTAATGGCATATTCAGTAAAAGGAGATCATTTGTCTAAAAGACTCTATTGAGTAAAAAGATTTTTCCAGCTGGAAGCTGGAGAGGGTATGAAATCCCCATGAAGTTGGACCATCCCAGAAGTCAGAGCAAGACGTAGTGGCCTCATGGAGTCCTGGGACATTGAATGTCCAGGAGAGAGTGGGGCTGGAGCTGGAGCTAGAAATGGAGCTGGTCTCCCCCACTAGACTGGAGGGGTCACGGAGCTTCTGTCCCCAGGCCGGACTGCGGACCATTGAGGAAGAGGCAGCCCCAGAGATCCGGCGCACCATCTCAGGAGACCTGACAGCAGAAGAGGAGCTGGAGAGAGCCATGGTGGAGGCTGCGATGGAGGAAGGGATATTCCGGGTATGTGAAGGCCATGACCACCCTGTGTGTCCCAGGCACAGGGAATAGCAACATCCCATAGAAATGAGGGCGAGAAGCCACATAGGAGGGGAATTTGGAAACTGAAGACACCCACAGCCCACATCTCTTGGGACTCAAAAATCAGTGACTCAACCTAGTCAGTTGTCAAATATAACACGTATTTTCTTCCCTTCCTCTACCAAGCCTCACTCCTTTCCTCACGTCCCCACAGCCACTAGTCAACATTCATCTCTTAGAATCCCTTCATTGTCAAATGCCCCACCTGCTTCCAGTTACACTGGCCCTCGATTCTTAGCGCTGTTTAGTGTTTTTTATGATGCTACAAAACTAAAAGGTCCTTAATGACCACCTAGTTAAAACCTTCTGGGTTATTCACGAGGAAGTGGTGACCCAAGGAGATTATATGAGATATCCAGTATCACCTTAGCAAGTTAGTTAGTTTTAGAGGTGGGACTAGAACCAGTTCTCCAGACTCCCAATCCAGTGCTCTTTCCATGACACCATATTTCCCTATCTGGCTATCTGTGTCTCCTATGTCGTTCCTTAGATGTGTTCTGTCTACCCCATTGTACTGAGAACTCTCTGAAGGTGGGTGGTTTCTTCTCTGGCCTTACAGCCCAGTCCATTTCCCTTTGGCCTTATAGGATTTGTCTTCTAATACCATCACTTGTTCCCAGCAAATCATCCCAGTATGGCAGTCCCCATGCACTCTCAGCTCTCAATCCCCTGTCACTGCTCTCAGCCCTTATGCTCTCCTTCTTGACCCTAGAGGACTGGGGGCCTGTTTGGCCAGGTGGACAACTTCATGGAAAGGACCAACTCCCTGCCCCCTGTCATGGCCAACCAGCGACCCCTCCAGTTTGCTGAGATAGAGATGGAAGAGCTGGAATCACCCGTCTTCTTGGAGGATTTCCCTCAAGATCCACGCACCAACCCTCTTGCTCATGCCAACACCAATAATGCCAATGCCAATGTTGCCTGTGACAATAGCAGCCATAGCAACAGCCAGCTATTTTCCAGGTAGTGGCAGTCACTGCCAGCTTTGGGTATAAGGGTACTGGGGTAGGACTGGGAAGACATGGTTAGTGGGTTCCAGGCTTTTCCGGAGAGGGGACACCCTGAAACATATAGGTTGTCCTCCGCTTGCCTTGGTGTCCTTTGGGATCCATCCTCCCCCTTAAGGCAAGAGGCAGGCCCAGACTGCAGAGACTCCTTTGGCCAGCAGAGGGCAGCCTCATGTTAGCGTTGGCACAAATGTTGCGTGGTTCCTTTATTCCATCATCTACGGCAGGTCTAGGAGCTGAGACCTACTGAACGTATTAGATTAGAAAGAGAGCTTACTACAACTGTGGAAAGTTAAAGTTTAATTGTAGGATTTGGGTTCCAGGGAGATCTCACTGCTGTTTGGGCCCCCTCTCTTTCACCCTGAGCTGTCCACCAGATATAATCTGTGATTACATAAGTCTCATGAAAAAACAGCAGGATGAAGTTGGGGAGCTTCTCAGAAATCACAACCTGCGGGCTGAGGTCCAAGCAGACCTTCCCTTATAGATAGGAGGCCGGGTGATTAGAGGTACCTTAGACCTGGAAAGGCTGAGTCGCACACCCTCAGTAATGGGCAGGACAGGGCAGAAGCCCCGTGAGCAGGTGTTTCCCATGGCCAGAGCTGCCTACACGCCTTTGCATTCAGAGACACTTTGAATTCAGCCCTCAAGCCTTGAGAGGCACCTGCGCCTTGGGTCACCATGGTGTTAGGTGTTCTGGGAATACAGAAGCACCAGACCTGGGCCCTGCCCTGAAAGGATTGTAGTCTTCTTGGGAGATGTGTCACAGGACCTGACAGTGACCGAATAATCACAAAGAGCAGGTGTCCTGAGAATGCAGGCATATTGATCACCATGGGCTGGAAAGGTCTAGATTTGAGCTAAACGTTTCTCGGCCTCCACTGAGCATCAGAAACACCAAGGAGCTCTCAAAATTGCAGTTCCTGGGCCTCACCGCAAACTCTGGGGATGGGACACAGCCACTACTAGTTTCTAAAGCTCCCCAGGTGATCCAGTGTACCACCAAGGTTGAGAACCAGTGTCCTGGAGGTTGTGAGGCTGGGCTGAGCCTCAGAAGATGAACAGAATGTGAAAAAGGGTAGAGGGAAGGGCATGTCTGACAGCAGGGACCATTGAACGAAGGAGAGGAGTGGGGAATGTATTTGGCCCATTTCTCTTAGAGAGCCAGGACTGGCTGGGCACAGAGCAGTGGGAGCACCAGCCCTGGAGTCCAAGCTGCACACAATGATGGGTCCAGATCCTGAGAGAAAAGGATGTTTGGGGCCATACAAGGGCAGGATGGCGGGAGAACCAGAAGCCTGCCTTGCTTCCCTATCACCAGCCTTGCTTCCATTTCAGCATCCGCTATGAAAGGGAGTTCCCTGGAGAGACAGAGATGCCTGCTGCCAGAGGAGGAGCCTTTGGCCAGCCCCAAAGCGTCCTGGGTCAGTCTTTTCTGTGCACCCTAGAAGCTGAGCCTTCTCCCAGAGAGGCCTGGGGAGCCTCGCTCGTTCCTTACGCTTGGGGAATCTGGCTGGGAGGGCTGGCTTGGGAGCCTGCTGCAGTGGGATCAGCTGGGCCCAGGACGGAAGAGCAGTCAGGGCCAGCTCCAGATCCAGGCAGAGGTCAAGGGTGTCATGTAGGTCACCGACTGAGGTGGGAAGGGGGCATGCCTGGAAACACACACCCACTCGCCCAAAGGGCAGCTCTTGAACGACTGACCCCTTGGCTCTGGGGCCCTTCAGCAGATGGTCTGGCAATCTCCCAGCAGGTCCTAGACTGCTGTGTGTGACAGCAAGAGCCCTGAGGATGCTGGAGTTCAAGGGAGATGAGGGCACTTGCCTTGCTCCGTGGCGTGTAAACACACACACACACACACACACACACACACACACACATACACTTCTGCATGCAAACACACGTGGACACACTGAGAAACAGCTTGACCAGAGCTGGTCAAACTCTGGCCCTGATTCCCCCTCCCAAACCCACAAGCACAAAGACCAGGACAAGTACAAGGGCAACGGGACAACACAGGTTCCTGCCTGGCCTGTAGTTGGTTGGGCCTCAACCTACGTCCACTCTCTAGGACCCCTTCCACAGCCCAAAGGGTCTCAGAGAGCTCTCAGAGTTTGGATGCCTGGCCAGGCAGAGCTCTGTTGACTCAGGCCCCTCTTGCCTTTGCCCTGTCTTGCCCACAGGAGCCCACAGCAAATCCTGTGTGGAAAAGCTAAAAGGACAGATGGCCCAGAGAGAAATGCCTGGGGCCCAGGCGTCTCCTACCCCCTGCCAGGTAATAGGGCACAGGCCTGGGAAGAAACTCTATGCATAGGAAGGGTGTGGTGGTAATTTGTCCATTAATAACAGAAAGGACCGGACTCCTGGGTCCTCCCTTTTCTGTGAGTCCTGGCTGAGGCTCCCTAGGGCTAGGGTTTCACCGGATCCCAGTGGGCTCCAGCATCCCTGTTGGGGTCTTTGCTTTTGTGCATTTGGAACAGCGTGCCGGTGCAGAGCCTCCCCTGCCTGGGGAGAGGAGGGACCCCACCCCGGGGCCTGAGGAAGTATCCCACCACGGTAGGACCAAGGAGAGTAGTTCCAGGTGCCAGACTCCAGCGACAGCCAGGCTGATACAGGAGGTGAGATGGGGGCTGGGACAGAGCAGTGGGCTGCATTCGGGGGTGGCCCTGTGATGTCCTGGGGTAGAGAGAGGGTAGAGCCAACAGAGGCAGACCCTGAGGCAGCTCCCCAGGAGATCACACCCAGCCTTCTCTCTTCCCTGCAGGCTCTGGTTCGAGGAGGCCTGGACACCTTGGCGGCTGATGCTGACTTTGTCACGGTGACAGGCCGGGCCCTGGCAGATGCCTGCCAGATGGAACCAGAGGATGTGGAGGTGGCAGCAACAGAGCTACTGAAAAGACAAGAGTCCCCAGAGGGCATGGCCAGTGCCCAGGGACGCTTGAGCCTCGGGTCCTCGCTGGGGAGCCTTGACCAGCATCAGGGCTCCCAGGAGACCCTGATCCCCCGCAGGCTGTGAGGTTCCGCACAGCAGCAGCATGGGCTTAGAGCTAGCATGACCAACGGTGAGGGAGGGGTGGCTGAGGCCAAGAAGGGTTAGCCCACCACGGCAGCCCCTCTCTCAGCAGCTGAATGGATGGGCCGAGTGGGGGTGGTCAGGAACCACCGGAAAACACGTCTGGAAGAAGTAGATTGACAGGCCCTTCTCCTCACCGGCAAGAGGCATGGTTGGATGGAGCTTCTAATGTCATTCAAATAGGCCCAGTCAGTGCCAGTGTCTGTCTGGCATAAGGCCACTCCCACCAGCAGGACATTAAAGTCTCCAGGCCTATGCCATTGGCCCCTGGCCCCTGCCTGTCTCCTGTTTTGGAAACTTCTACACTCACTCATCCCTCTTCCCCATCCCATTTCCCAGGAACCCCGCGCACAGGCTCGGGAGCCTGGGCCCAGGAGAACAGAGGGGCTCTCTGGGCAGCTATCCTGCGTGCAGCAGAGAGGGGCTCATCGTGGAGAATGTGGATTCTCCTAGAAGTGCATGGCCGGTTCCACTGACCGGGACCGCGTCACTGCAGGAGGGCCTGGCGGCCTTAGAAGCAACGGCCCCACATCCCAGGCCACACCACAACCCACCTTCTTTGAAGCTATGACCCTGTCCCTTTGGACAGAATCCACCACTGACATAGGCCTTGGGTCCCTCACGTATTTGTGCCCCTGGATATCAAAGATCTGCAGTTTCCACAGCTCCTCTTACCCACACCAAGCAGTGATGAGTCACAGTGGCTCCTACTTACCAAGTACCTCCTGTGTGCCAGACGCTGTCCCGCGCCGTGGGGTGTTCTACGTTCCAGGTACAAAGCATTTCCACACAGCGTCCATTTCATTCTCGTTGCACCCTCGCAAGGCAGGGTTTTTTTTTTTTTTTTTTTTTTTTTTTAATTTTTTTTTTTCAACGTTTATTTATTTTTGGGACAGGGAGAGACAGAGCATGAACGGGGGAGGGTCAGAGAGAGAGGGAGACAGAGAATCAGAAACAGGCTCCAGGCTCTGAGCCATCAGCCCAGAGCCTGACGCGGGGCTCGAACTCACGGACTGCGAGATCGTGACCTGGCTGAAGTCGGACGCTTAACCAACTGCGCCACCCAGGCGCCCCAAGGCAGGGTTTTTAAGGGTCGAAAGGGATTTCAGGATGTGGCAGTGGAGGCACAGAGAGGTGATGTGGCGTGCCTGTGGTCACACAGCCAGTGAGAGGCAGAGTTAGGCCCGCCAGGTCCCAGCGGTGCCTTTCGCTGGGTACTCTTTCCTCTCCTTGCCATCCCTTCACCGAGCTTGCCCAGCGCTGGTGGCTGGGTGGCTGTGGTGACCACCGGGCCGCCCCGCAGCCTCCTGGCAAACCCCCGGGCGGGCTCCTCGGGCTCCTCGGGCGGGCCCCAGGCTGCAAGGGCAAGGGCAAGGGCAGGGAGACTCGCCCTGGCCGCAGATGTGTGATCCCGGAACATTTCAGCTCTCCGCTCCTCAAACCTCGACACCACTGGCTTCCCCCACGCCTTCCCTCGACAGCCTGCCGTCTTCCTCCACAGAGAAGCAGAGGCCGCCAGAAGGTCCCCTCCCTCAGCTCCTGTTACCAAACTGATGAGCTCGCCAATGCTTTTGTCTCTTGCTGTCCTTTCCTCCTGACCCAGCGGAAGACTGGCATCTCCTCCAGCCAGCTTTTCAGATTTTACCCCAGCCCGTCTCCCGTCCTCCCCTCTCCCCCTGCTCCCTCCATCTGCAGGGACCACATTCAAGGTGTTTCCATCTTAACAACATGGCCTCACAGCTGCCCTATCTACCTACCTGAGGTCTATCTATTATCTCTCTCTCTCTCTCTCTCTCTCTCATCTATCTATCTATCTATCTATCATCTATCTAGTCCATTACTGAAGAGCAAACTTCTTACCTGGGTTGTCGCCTCATCCACGTTTCCATTTCTAGTTCCCATTTCTCATCCCCATGCAGCCTGCCTTGTGCCCACATTCACCAATATCTCCACAACCTTGTTGCAAATCCAGGAGATTCCCTCCCTCCACCTTTTTTTTTTTTTTTTCAGGAGACCTCTTTTATCTTTATCTTCCTTGATTTCTAGACAGCATGAGGTACAATAGACTTCTCCCTCCTTCCTGACATGTCTCCACCACTGCCTCTCCTGAATTTCCTCCTACCTTTCAAGTGCTCAACCCAGAGTTTCCCTGTGAGTTCTCCCCTGGCCCATCCACCTCTCAGGTTCTGTGTCCTTGATCCCTCTTCCAACCCGGGAGGTCTTCCTGGTTGCTCTCAGCCGCTCACACATCAGCTGCCTCTGTGTTGAAAATTCCCAATTCCATGTGGCTAGACTAAACCTCTACATCTCTGTATCCTTCTCCCCAGCAACTCCTCACGTATGTCCTACCTGTGCCAAAAGTGCGTCGTGTCCAAATTCGACCCCACTGTCCTTTCCCCATAGGCTGCTGCTACTCTGGTATACTCTTGGGTGCTACCCACCCCTTGTTGAAACCAGGAGTCTGGGTGTTGTCCTGGGCTCCCAGCTTGCCCCACAGATTCACCCTCCTAAGTACTTCTCCAACCTGTCTTCATGCCCACAGTGACTTTCCTGACCTGTTCAATCAACATTTCATGCCTCTTCCTTTGCAACAGCTTCTGGACTGCCCTCTCAGCAGCTCCTCTCTTCTCTTCCTCCCTGCCTGTCTCTGATCTTTCTAAAAGGAGAAGCCTGTTGTCTCATTCTTTTGCTTAAAACCCTTAAAGGCACCCCCAAACCCTCAGAACATCGTGCAAACCCTTGCCCTCTGCTTAGAAGCCTTCCCTGGATCTGGACCTCACGCATGGCTCCTGCCAGCCCCACCAGGGGGAGCTGCCCTCACTTCTGACTTCCAGAGTGCTGTTGTCTCTGGAAAACTCCATGAACCCTAAACTCCATGGATCCCTCCCTAGTCATCTTTGAAATCTCAGCTTTGCTCTTGCTTCCTGCAGAAAGCTTTCCCCGGACACCCTCCAGAAAGCTTTCCCCGGACACCCTCCAGACCCTCTGGAGGCTGGCCCAGAAACACGGCGGGCCTTTTCCCCGAGTGCAGTGGGGATCAAAACCGCTTGTTTATTGTTACCCTAGCCAGAGGCTAAGCTTCACAAAATCAGGAGCCGGTCCACTTTGTTCCAAGTACTCTACCTGGAGCTGAACACTTTTCAGCACAGACCAGTGGCTCAATAACTGTTAAATAAATGCAGGAAAATGGTGGGAAGTGTGGGCCCGGCCCTTCGCTAGCTCACTGCCCAGTGTCACCCGCCTCAGTTCTGCAACCTCAGCCACCTTGGCTGTCTGTCTAGGCCCCGGGGAGACAGGGAGGAGGTGCTCTGCCTCCAGGGGCCACACGCTGGACTTCACCTCAGCCCTGCCCACACGTAGCTGCCGGGCCACTCCAATAAAGCCTAAAAGGAACAAGTGTGGAAGGATGAGGACTGAGCAGGGAGTGAAGGGGACCAGACAGGTCTGGGGGGGAGACAAACCCCTCCTCTCAGCAGGACCATCTGACAGAGACCGGGTACCCATAGGGGCCGGTGGGGCCACCTTCTGTTGCCTGGGGGGCACTGGCCAGAAGCAGGGTCTGCTGGACCCCTATCTTCTGCCGGCGGTTCCCTGCAGACTTGGGGCCCAGCTGCTGGGTGCCGGGTCTGCCAGAAGGGGCGGGGCTGCAGCTGGTGGGAGGGGCTGGTCACAGAGCCTCATGCTGGCCGTGGGGACGAGAGGAGCCCTGCGCTCTGGAAGGTGTGAGGCTCAGATGGAGGACCCCTGGACACCGTGGAGGGTGGGCTCAGTTCCAGTCTATCTGCAGAGTGGGGAGGAGCTCCCTGGCTCTGGTCCGGGTGTACGTGTAGGCCCTGCTCTAGATGTGGCCGAGTGATTCTTAAAGGAAGCATGTGGTTACTCTCTGCAACGCGTTTCAGAGCATAGTCTTGGAAGCCAGACCCCTTTGGACCTGCCTCCCATTCATTTACCTCCATGCTGTGATCTCAGGCAGTTCCTACAGCCCTCTTAAGCTTCCGCTCCTCCTTCTGTAAAATGGGGGACCCATTCCTACTTCCAGGTTATCGACAGGTATGAAGAGGACCCTGTAAAGCGCAGGCCTTTAGTAAGATGCTGTTGTTTTGATCCTGTCTGATGCTGGCTGGTGAGAGAGCTGGGCTTTTAGATGAGAGGACACTGAGCTCAGAGGGGTCCTGAGGCCACTTATTGAAAGCTGGGCGGGGCACCTGGGTGACTCAGTCTCTTGAGCTTCTGATTTCAGCCCAAGTCACGATCTCACGGTTCGTGAGTTCGAGCCCCATATCGGGCTCACTGCTGTCAGCCTGTCAGCACAGAGCCCTCTTTGAATCCTCTGCCTCTCCCCTGCTTGCGCTCTCCCCAAAATAA